CCTTTGGGCATCAGGAGCAACAGTGTCGTCAAAGGAGGGGTTGTTTCGAGTGCGGGGTATTTGGTCACATTGCGAGATATTGCCCTAGGCTGTTGGGTGGGACTCCGCAGCAGAGTACTCGGCCAACGGCACCAGCACCAGTTCCTCCACCAACCGCCCAGCCAGCTAGGGGTGGAGTTCAGCCAGCTAGGGGCAGAGCCTAGTCAGCTATGAGTTGCCCGAGAGGGGGAGGCAGATCAGGGGGTGGTCAGGCCCGTTTCTATGCCCTCCCAGCCAGGCCAGACGCTATTGCTTCAGATATTGTGATTTCAGGTATGTTCTTCTGTTAGACTCGTTCGAAGATGAACGTTTATTTAAGAGGGAGAGAATGTAATGACCCGGCCAGTCGTTTTGAATATTATAACCCCGTTCCCTAATTTACTGCTCAATTTATGTCTTGCAATTGATTTATGACTTATCGGGTTAGTTAGTTCGGGTCCGGAGAGAACTCGGAGTGAAATGAGACACTTAGTCTTATAATTTAAAATAAAAAAAAGTTAAAAAAGTGGACCGGATATGGATCTATGTGTAAACGACCTCGGATTTGAATTTTGATGGTTTTGTTAGCTCCGTTAGGTGATTTTGGACTTAGGAGTACGTCCGGAATGTGATTTGGAGGTCCGTGGTAGAATTAGGCTTGGAAAATTTGATATCGGAGTCGGAATGGAATTCCGAAAGTTGGAGTAGGTTCGTAATGTCATTTGTGATATGTGTGCAAAATTTAAGGTCATTCGGACGTGGTTTGGTTGGTTTCGGCATCGGTTGCCGAATTTAGAAATTTAAAAGTTCTTAGGCTTGAATCCGAGGGTAATTTGATGATTTGATATTGTTTTGAGTGATTCGAAGGTTCGACTAAGTTGGTATGTTGATATATGACTTGTTGGTATTTTTGGTTGAGGTCCCGAGGGCCTCAGAGTGATTCCGAGTGGTTAACGTGTTTGTCAAAGTTGGAATTTGCAGCTGGAGCTGCTGCTACTACTATTTTCGCACCTGCGGAAGAAAGCCTCGCAGGTGCGAGGCCGCTGGTGCGCGTAGGGAGTGCGCAGGTACGGACGACGCTGGGCCAAGGCTGGAAATGCAGGTGCAAAAATTGGCCGCATCTACTAGCCCACAGGTGCGAGGCCTTGAGCGCAGATGCGGAGATGAGGATTTTGGGCTGGTTTCGCAGATGTGCACGAGGGACCGCAGATGCGAGTCCGCAAGTGCGAGAAAGGTGTCCGCAGGTGCGGATGTTAGGGAATTATGTGAGTTGCGCAGGTGCGACTCCTTGGACCGCAGGTGCGAGAAAATGGCCGCAAGTGCGAAAAATCTGGGCAGAAACCATAAATAGAACCCTTTGCGATTTTGGTGCATTCTTCACCATTTCTATTCGGTTTTTGGAGCTTTTGGGAGAGATTTGAAGAGGGAATCAAGAGGGTTTCATTGAGGTAAATTACTTGAGCCCTAATACATGTATATATGGTGATTTTCCGTTGTTTAATCATGGTAATTAATGAAAATGAGGGGTTAGGGCTTGGAATATTTGGAGAGTAATTTAAGGATTTGAAGGACCAAACGATGTCGGATTTTGATGAATTTGGTATGGTTAGACTCGGGAGAGGACAAGGTTTATTATTCTGCCATTTTTGACCGATTTCGAGACGTGGGCTCGGGGGTCGAGTTTTGGTCAGTTTCGGAGTTTTGGCATAATTTGATAGTTTTTCTTATGGAATTCATTCCATTAGCATATATTGATGGTACTGTACTGATTGTGTATAGATTCAGAGCATTTGGAGATCGAGTCCAGAGACGAGGGCATCCTAGAGTAGGGTTTTACACTGTTAAGGTAAGTAACAGTTTTAACTCTGACTTTGAGGGTATAAACCCGGAGATTTGACATCACGTGATTATTTGGAAGTGATACCCATGCTAGGTGACGAGCGTGTGGGTATGCACCGCGAGGGATTGAGACTCCCGTGAGGCTGTGAGGTCTAATGACTATTATCTGTGGTTATGTGTTTAATTGTTGTTGAACTTGTTTGCCTTCATGATAGAGATCATGCTTAAGCTTTATTCGTGCTCACATTATTTGTACTCAGTTATAGAAATCATTGTACCTGTTTACTTCAGTCTCTATTATTTGCTAATATGCGGTGATACTTGATGTGGGTTGTGTTCCCTTATTTGTTGTTGATGATGAGGCTAGTGAGGTACATGATTGAGTGAGGCCGAGGGCCTGGTTGTGAGGATATTAATACCATAGCGCATGAGTTGTCCGCGTAGCACGTGAGTTGACCGTGCGGGTTCAGGTATTGATACCATAGCACGTGAGTTGTCCGCGTAGCACGTGAGTTGACCATGCGGATCCAAGTATTGATATGATGGCACGTGAGTTGTCCGTGCTTAGCGCTTGGGCTTTGGGAGCCCCTTCGGAGTCTATACACACCCCAGTGAGCGCAACGTGTTGAGTGTTTTGAGTGTTGAGTGCCGGGTGATAAGTGATGGAGTGACACTATTGTGAGGTTGTATTTATTTGTGTTGTTGCTGTATTTATCTGTTAAACTTCTTTGTGGCACTACCGAGTTATGGAATTTACCTGTTTATTTCTGTTTATTTTTAAATTGTGAAAATAAACGATTGGACTGTTTTACTTAGCTCGTCACTATTGCTCAGTTCCTTAGTTATTTCTGTTACTTTCTGAGGTGGTTGTACTCATGCTACACCCTGCACTTTATGTGCAGATTCAGGTGAGTTAGAGTGCGACGATCGTTGAGTTCAGGCCGGCTATCTGTGGAGATTGCAAGGTAGTTGCTAACGTCCGCAAGACCTTGTTACTCTTTTTATCATTTCTTCTTTTGGATTATTTTGATAGTTAGACAGTTTCATTTCTTAGTTCATAGATTTAGACGCTCATGACTTAGTGACACCCCGATGTTTGAGGCTCGTTTCCGTATTTTTCTATATTATATTTAGAGTTGATTTAGTTTATGAAAAATTTTTAATGTTGAAATATTTTATTAAATTATTATAATCGGTTTAGTAGTAATATTTTGGAAAGTAGGCTTGCCTTGTAACACGATAGGCGCCATCACGACCATGGTTAGATTTTGGGTCGTGACANTTAGACGCTCATGACTTAGTGACACCCCGATGTTTGAGGCTCGTTTCCGTATTTTTCTATATTATATTTAGAGTTGATTTAGTTTATGAAAAATTTTTAATGTTGAAATATTTTATTAAATTATTATAATCGGTTTAGTAGTAATATTTTGGAAAGTAGGCTTGCCTTGTAACACGATAGGCGCCATCACGACCATGGTTAGAGTTTGGGCCGTGACAGCTTTTGACAATATAATACAATGATTGCATGTTTATTTTCTGTTTGGTAACTTCTGTATATGCTTTTAGTAATGTATTTCTCATGCTTATAGTACTTTCCGGATCCTGGTATATCATACCTTGCGAGTATGAAATGTTATCTGATATTTTCCTCAATAACCATATTTTCTGTTTCGACAGGGGAAAAGAATCTTCAACATGGGAGTGTAATTTGATTGAACTCATACTAATCCTCCTTGCCCAGGCTAAGTAATAATTCTAATAAAGGAGAAGAAAAAATTGAACAGCTGGGCCATTCAAGATAGAAAATTCACTATAGACGCGTGAAACATGTTTCTGTGTCATTACCAACTTGAAGCCGTAACCCGCTATTGACACGTTTAGCTTATTTGTGATTACTGGAAGTGATGGCGTCTGCAGAACTAGACAATATTCAGTTATTCACTATGTTGCTCGTAAGTAGGTTTGGCTGGTAGTGATTCTTTAAGGCTTTACTCTCTATTCTAAATTTGATATACTTTGTGTTATGTTGGAACAATGTTTCCTTAATTATTAAATGTATATACATATTGTTTTTTACTGCCATTGAGTGGAAAGTCATCTTTTGGGTGAGTGTTTCAAGGTAAAGAAAGTTTCCATACTATTGCATTTGTGTTGCTTAAAAAGGGGTTGTGACACTACTGAAAGGGGAAACAGATTCGATAAAGTAATGGTCACGGACTGATCATTGAAGAAATGGATGCGATGCTCTTGCATCTTTTGTAACAGGTGAATGGTAAACACCATACCACCCAGGTTGAGATGGGATGGATAGGATCCTTTCGACTTTAACCAGAGATCTTGTGTTCAAGTTTGGGAATGGAATTTTTTTTGGTAGAGAGCCTTCCTCCTTTAATGAGCATTATGCGATGCGAATCTGAATTAGTCGGGCTACACCTCATGGGACAGTCTAGAAAAAATGACCAATGAACATGAATAGATGGCAACTACCGTCTTCAGAATCAACAATAAGAAGCCTAACACCTTCTTCTATGAAACATAATGACACTTTCTATTTACTTGTCTCTTATACTCTGAATAATTTTTTCACATTAAAGATAGGAAGTCATACTAGTTCAAATTTATGGATTTTGGTATGCCAGGCTATCTTATATAGGATGAAAAGGCAGGGTCTCTCCTCCAAAGTTATTCTTATGCCGCATTTGATAATCAATAAATGCGGCTCTTTTTGACATGAATTGAGCTTTAATGAAGCAGCGAGTATTCATATAACTAGTTTGGAAATGAGGTATAATTATTGTAATAAATCTTTTTCATTTGAGTTCTAAAAAGTCCGGTCGCGCCTTATTATGCGGCGAGCAATGGAAGTTCTAAACCCTTCGTAGCCAATAAATTGAAGTCAAAAAATAGCAATTCCAAATCGAGAATTAGCTAAAATTTAGGTACATAACTTTAGTAATATAATGACCTGGTCACTACTAATAACGAAAATTAGGGAATATTCTAGACACTTGGTTAAACAAATTAGCAAGTAGTTATACAAATAAAGTACTTTTGAATTGAATGATTAAGATTTTGTAACTGCCTAAAAATACGGTTCCTAAATAAAATAGCAGTTACATTCCCCTATATATATGCACTTCCTTGTTCATCATCACAAATTCATAACAGAAAAGAATTATTAGGCATTTTCCTTCTGAATTTGAGAGATCAAAGAACCCATGGCTTATTCCAAATCAATTATTCCTTCCTCTTTTATTATAATTTTCTCATGGGTTTTTGTGGGTTTATCCCATGGTATTGAACTTGATAAAAATCTATTAGGAGCATTATTTGCTGATAATGGTGAAAATGGTGGTATTTTAGATATGCCATGTGTTAAAAAATTGATGCCATGTCAAGCTGCTTTGACATCACATTCTAAAAATCCACCAGCAACTTGCTGTGTGCCATTGAAGGAAATTATTACGAGTGATGCGCAGTGTCTTTGTACTGTTTTTGGTAATGCTGATTTAATGAAGAGTTTTAATGTTACCAAAGATGAAGCTTTGAGTTTTGCAAAAGCTTGTGGTGCTAAACCTGATCTTTCCCTTTGCAAAAATGGTACGTAACAACTTTTTTTCTGAATCAAGTTTTGTATAGATGCATGTTTTTTTTTTTCTTCCTTAGTGAATGCTGACATAGTTGAAGGAATCTTGGAGCGATGATAAAGTTGTCTTACGGGTTCGAGACGTGGAAACAATCACTAATGCTTGCATTAGGGTAGACTGACTACATCATACACATTGGGGTGCAGCCCTTCCTCAAACACAATAGAGGATGCTTTGTGCATCGGACATACTTGATTCAATATACATTAAGGACCGGCCTGTTTAATTCGCGTACAAAGTTATGCCGATTTTATAATTTAAGAATTGTAATGCGTGAATTATTAACAATTGAATATATTGAATTCTGTCGCGATATTACTTCCCTAATGTCAGTAACCTAACAAATCTTAAGTGTTGAATTTGGGCAAAATGAATGAAACAATTCACAGTACATATGAAAAAGAGTGGATATATATATATATAAAATTTAGATTTTTGTAGAATATATAATTTGAACATAATGGAGAGAGTGGTTTTTAATAATGTAGTAAAACACTATGGACGGATGATCCATGTTAATCAAAAAGATTTTGCTGCCTGATCTTGTTAATTCGATGTCCAGTAATATAATCAGGGTATCAGTACTTTTTTCCTAATTTCCTAAATTTCTTCTATATAGTCATTATTGAATCTCATTTTGGATTAAGTAATTCCTTTTCTTTGAGATATTTGATCCTTAAAACAATTATTCATTGCATAGTAGACATTAACTCCATCGATTCTGACTAACATTGTTTTGCACTATTGATTCCATTAATTTTTCTGGCAACTAATTAACGAGTTTTATCTCAATTATAGCCGCTGCGTCACCTGGTTCAGCCCCATCTGCTCCTTCAGCCTCGAACAGTAAGTATTCCCAACGTTTTCCCTCTCCGTTTCATTTGTACCAAATACACCGACTATTTATGATTCTTATCAGCTACTTTCAATCAGTTAAATTACACGGCCTCTAATAAGTGAACATATGTATTTTCAGATTCGCCTTCGAGTAACAAGACTGCAAGTCCACCAGCAGCAAATGCAGCTAGTGTGACTTCCAAATTTGGAGGGTTTGTTGCCGTTGCATCGTTTATGAGTTTAGTAATGTCAGCATTTTAAGGATGGAGCAGAACACACTGTTCTGGAATTGAAAGGCTAATTTGCTTATTGGGAAAGCCAGTGCCTCAAAATCATTTCACTAATCTAGTTTACATAACCTAAAATTTTTCCAATTTAAAATGACTGATTTATGTGGTGTTTAGTAGTTGTGTTTTGATTTGTTTTTCTTATGATTGATAACAGTACATTCAATCAGATCTATTATATTTAAGTTTAGGCATAACACTCTCTTTGAGCTAACGTTATCTACTTGCAAATTTGTCTTGAAAGTGGGATAATTTGATTCTCAAATAACACCAAATAAAAGTCAAAATTGCGGCGGTAAATTCATTGCACACACCATTCTTGAAACTACTGTATTCATCAGTCAATCTACAGACCTTCTAACCTACTAAAAATAGAACAAGACCAACTAAAATCAAAACATAGTACTGAATATCAATCTACAGCCCCTCCAACCTGCTAAAAATAGAACAAGACCAACTAAAATCAAAACATAGTACTACTGAATATCAATCTACAGCCCCTCCAACCTGCTAAAAATAGAACAAGACCAATTAAAAACAAAACTTAGTACTACTAAGTAACAAAGTTGATGACTATGATGGCAGAAAATTCATGGCAAACCAATCTTGACAGTTGACAATATCAATAAATCATAACAGTCAGTCCCTCTCTTGCCACCTTTCACATGGTTCTCTTACATCAATTTTGTCACCAATAAAACCCCTGCATAAAATCGACCAGGTTCTGTGGAAATTAATGAGTGCCTATTTTCTTATAAGTTCAACATAATATTGGAGGTTTCCAAGAAAAGAGAAAAAAGTATACTAGCTTTCCTCATCAAACATTCCCTTGTTATATAAACATGAAGAATGTATCTCCATAGCACAATATATGATCCTTTCTATCTGAAATGGAGGCAAAACACTTATCATTCATCTTCATTTCAGTCTTGATATTCGTTTCCTTCATCATTCGTTTATTTCAGATATGGAAGGCATCAAAAACCTTTAACAAACTATTGCCTCCAGGGCCATGGAGTCTACCTTTGATTGGGAACTTGCACCTATTAATGAATGGCCGCCTTCCAGTACATCATACTTTCAGAAGTCTATCGCGAAGATATGGGCCAATCTTTCACTTACGTCTTGGAGAAATATCGATCATTGTTGTATCTTCACCTGAGATGGCAAAAGAAATTATGAAAACTCAAGACCTTCGCTTTGCTACTAGGCCTGAATTTATGTCTGGAGACATTATTTTCTACAACTACACAGACATTATAACTTGTCCATATGGTGATCACTGGAGAAATATGCGCAAAGTGTGCATCGTGGAACTTCTTAGTGCAAAGATGGTCAAGTCATTTAATTCAATTCGACAAGCAGAGATGTCAAGTCTCATTTCATCCATTAACTCCATGCCTGATGACTCATTGATCAACTTATCAGATAAAATGTTTTGGTTTACAAGTTCTGTAACTTGTAGGTCAGCTTTCGGGAAAGTGATTCATGATCAACATAAGTTGATAATGTTGGTGAAGGACATAGCATCATTAGCTGCAGGATTTGACTTGGCTGATATGTTCCCTTCCCGAAAGTGGCTTCACAAGATTACTGGATTGAAGTCCAAAATGTTGAAGGTTCACACAAAGGTAGATGCAATTTTGGAGAATATCATTAATGAGCATCGGGAAAGTCGAACTAACGGTAAGAAGGGCAATGGTGAGACTGGAGGTGAAGATTTGATCGATGTTCTACTTCGAGTCATGGAGAGTGGCGAATTGGGAACTCCACTCACAAAGAAGAATATCAAAGGTGTTATTTTTGTAAGTCTAATGCCATATGAGATATTTCATTTCATTTTATTTTTTATAGTAGTATTTAAACATTGAAGTTAATATTTATGCTAGAGTACAATATTGAAACGTTAGAAATTGTATATATCTTAATAGTTTTCTTTACATGCAGGACATGTTCTTAGCAGGAGCTGAAACCTCATCTACAACAATTATTTGGGCGTTGGCTGAAATGATAAGAAATCCAAGTGTTATGGCTAAAGCACAACTTGAAGTTAGAGAAGTCCTAAAAGGAAAGAGAACATTTGAGGATATTGATCTAGAAGAGTTGAAGTATCTAAACCTAGTGATTAAAGAAACATTAAGGTTGCACCCTCCTGTTCCTCTATTACTCCCTAGGGAATGCAGAGAAGAAACAAAAATTGACAAATATACAATACCTATCAAAACTAGAGTTCTGGTGAATGTATGGGCAATGGGAAGAGAGTCTAAATATTGGCATAATCCAGAAAGTTTTATACCTGAGAGATTTGAGAATAATTCTATTGATTTCAAAGGAAACCACTTTGAATTTATTCCGTTTGGTGCAGGACGAAGAATATGTCCAGGATTATTATTCGGTTTAGTTAATGTAGGACATCCTTTAGCTCAATTGCTTTATCACTACGACTGGAAGACTCCTCCTGGGATAACTCCAGACAATTTAGATATGACCGAAACAATTGGGGTAGCTGGCGGAAGAAAGGATGATCTTTGTTTAATTGTTACTCCTTTTGGTCTCTCTTAACAATAGATATAGACATAAGAATTCTGTTAGAAAAAATTGCAAATTTCACCTATTACCACCTGTTTATCATACAGTGATGAATAAGAAGATAATGGTTTTTATTTTAAAGTAACTTGTTTATACATCTTTTAGTGGTATATCCATATTATGTTACATGTGAGCGGCAAAAAATGGCCAATATGTCAAAATTAAACTTTTCGCAATAATACTTCTTTCAGGTTTTTCTTTTTCTCATTACATCTACAAATAATACTTCATCACATCACATAGTCATGTTGCTCTGTTTCGTCCGAGAAAAGTAATACAGCCAGAGAGATACTCAAATATTATACGCTTCTTCTCCAATACTATCGTTGAAACACAACTTTTCATTTCAACATACATACCTTATGAAAATGAGCATCTATAGCAAGCTTACTGTTATGGGATTTAACACCTATTATGCAAATGAGCATCTATAGCAAGCTTACTGTTATGAGATCTATAAACCACAAAGCTACGTTGACGTATTTATTATTTGTGGTCCCAGAATGTTAGGCATTTTAGTAGATTTCAGATTCTTCTCATTCTTTACCTACTTTTTTTCAAATTGTTTTGCTATAATTATCCGCAAATCAGCCCTTCCTTTAGGTTCTTTCAACTACACTAGATCATCTTTCAAATTGGTTTAATTTATTTCTCGGGGCAAGGGTCTAGGGTTACTACCTTTCTATTGAAAAATCAAATGTGGATAGCCAGTGGCCCCAAAGAAACGAAAGAATCGTATCATTTTCCTGAGCAACCAAGAAGATAAAGAAATTCGATCTTTATCTTTGATAGTTAGAAACATAAAGAAAGTATGTTTCTTTATCTTTGATTTATCACATTACACAAATCGAAAGTATTCGAAACATATCAAACTTAGGGAACATGAAATCGCATACCAAAGTACTTTCGCAAGGTGAATCTCGCAAAATCGTACTGATAAATTACTTTAAAACAACGAAAATTCTAGTTAAGTACTCATATATGTACGGGAGATTAGAAGGGGGAAGAGAACTTGCCATTTCATCAGGAGAGAGAAAGTTAACTTCTCTGAACCCTAAATCGCCAAAATGGAGGAAAGAGTGTGAGAAAGAAGAGTTTTGTATTTTGTAAGAAAAGAGAAAAATAGAGAGGGAAAGACGAAGATAAATGATAGTACTATGTTCTGATTGTTAGCGCCTTTTGTTTTTAAAGGTAGCTGAGGTTTCAAACTGCTGCAAATTGCATGTTCAGTTTGATACTGAATGCATAGGTAAACACCTAAAAATGGTATAGTAACTATTTTTCATTTAGACACATCAAACCCAAAGTATATTAATTAGATATATTGTTTAACCGAAAAACGGATAGAGTTGAATTTGTACGTAGTTCTAAGGATATATGGTATACCTTAATACAAATCGTAAGGATAAATAGAAAAATCAAGTATGGATTGATAAGAATGCAAAGTAGACAAGGTTGTAAGGAAGATGATTACTAGGACTAAATAAGTTGAATCAATTTATGAAGCTTGAAAGAATAATTCTTCACTGTAAGAGAATATGGTGCTTGAATTACAATATAAGCAAAAATTTGCCCCTTACAGAAATGATAATCATCCATTTATAGTAGGGGATCTTACTTTAGATATAATTAAAAATACATAGTGGGAGACCCATGATAAATCAGTTTTTCCACAATTCCTGCCAAGATTCTCTCCTCTAGTGGGATTGCAACGACTCTTGTCTGTGAGCTCGATATTGAATCGAGTTTTCGGTTTTGACTCGAGCTCTCGATCTTAACTCGAGCTCTCGACTCGACTTAAGCTTGATTCTGACTCAGATTCTTGAATTGATTCGGGGTCAATGTGGGTCGGTCTCTGAATCACAAGTTCGATAACTTTTCTTTGCATCATAGTTCGATTTGGATTCGAGCTTGATAATGATATCGAGCTCGACGTTGATCGGTCCCTCGGGCTCGAAGCTTGTTTGTTCCATCTTCGGAACCCAACACGGAGCCTTACTTCGATCCATTATGTTTTGACCTCGATCAATCGTATGAAGGCCGAAATCTATTTCGACTGTATACAGATAGTCCTCTCGTTTCTCGGGAAGGATGTGGTGAGAAACGATATGATTTTTCAACGGCTCGATCGGATTATAAGCTGACGTTTACATTGGGCTCGACCATGACGCACGTGATGGTTGTGCCGTCGATTTAGTCTTTCAAGGCATTTAATGCACGTCAGACGGTGGTCGGCCATCGCTGATACTGAACCGCCATTGCTTTAACCTATAAATAACCCTTCCTTTTATCATTTACCACTTTTAATCTTCACTCTTCCAAATTTCTCAAGTTTTTTTTTCGTATTCTCTGAGCTCATTCGCAAATCTGCGATTCTTCTTTGCAAAATTCTTCTTCTAAATTACCAAATCTTTGTCACCTTCTTTAAAATCAAAATGGTGAAGATATCAAAAACCGTACCCCAAAAGGAAAAAACTTCTTCTTCCCAATCCGACGCCGACAAAACACTGGTGGATCCACGTCCTGAGGAGTGTGTTCTGGCGGCGTGTGTTCTTACCTCCGATTTCAAACTTGATAAAGGTTCGCCGGTTCCTGGCCGATGTGAGCCCATATCGAGATATATTTGTTCGATAACCCGGGAGCACATCGAGCGGATAAAAAAAGATTGTAACTGAGAGAACAAAGAAGTGGTAGTGCTGTCTCCCGAAGAGGACATTACTACTCACGTGAGAGGGTTCTTAAGCGTGTATACTTTCCCTTTCACGTTAGGAGCCCTCGACCCTGTTATCATAGATTTTTGTCATAAATACCTAATAACTCTAGGCCAGATACGTCATTTATTTTGGCGGATCGTTATTTTGATCCGATATTTTGTGAGTAAAATCGAGGGGATGCCTTTCATCCTCGATCATCTTATCCGATTATACCGTCCTCGCCTTTTTCGATGAGGGTTAATAAAACTCCAATGTCGAGCTACCAAGGTTCTGTTCTCGAGTATAGACGAGGATAAGGATCGAGGCTGGATGGGCAGGTTCGTTCGAGTAAGGACTTCAGACCTGATTCCGACCGAGAAGATGCCTTTTCCCGAGGAGTGGAACATGAAGCGTAAGTATAATTCTGTTGTTATATCCTATTATTTTGTTCTTTCATTTCTTTTCTCATCGATATTCCTCTTTTGTGATGCAGTGGTTCCCTGGATGCCCGGCGCAGTGCCCGATCTCAAGAACTGGATACGTGATCTGGTTTCGACCTCCTCATACGTCGAGCGCTCATGGCGCAACTTGTCAAAGGGTCGATGGGAGGCCAAAAATCACGGTAAACGCCTTTCTCGTATCTTTTGGTAATCCAAATACTTTTCACACACTTCAATAAAATTTTCCGTATGCAGGTGTGGGCAAAGATGCGGTTTTAAGGTCCTCATCCGTCGAGGAAGAGGCTTCAGCCTCTGTCCCAAAGCCAGTGAAAGATAATAAGAGGAAAAGAGCCCCCGTCCTCGATGATCAAAAACTAAAGAAGAGGACGGCTCGTAAGCCGAACAAGAATATCATTCCTTTGACTGTGGAATCAGTTCTGCGTCTGAGGGAAGAAGAAGAAGAAGAAGAAGAAGAAGAAGAAAAGAATGACGGGTCTACACTGGCGGCCCGAACAAAGAAGACCATCGACATTCCACAGGCGGCTGGATCGATGGTGGTTCATAAGACTCCGCCTCAAACTGAGGATATATCGGAGAGAGATTCGGGCAGAGTCCCCGAGTTGCTGGAAATTGAAGATGCTTCATATCGAAGCCGACGGATGGGGGATAAGCCTGAAGGGGATCTTCCCGAATCTTTTCGAACCGAAGAGAATTCCCCAGGTAATTCATTTGGGGCAGTAGCAACCGAAGACTCGCCCACCTTCCCTACTTTTTCCGCAGGGGCGATTCGGGAAGCCCAAGCTTTGGGGGCCCTCGAATTAGATAGGACTCATGATGGAGAGGATCCTTTTCATGACATGTTTATCGGTGTCGAAGACACTACCGGTACAAGTGACACATCGGACCTTTTTCACGGAGTGCAGCAGGCTTTGAATCAGGTAAGCCTTAAATTATATGGCGTTACCTTTAAGTTTGCTTTTCTTTCTTGAATTTGTTCCTTCTTTCTTTGAAGGCTGCGACAGTTCATCGAGAATCATGTTCTCGGTCCCGAACCGAGCTGCGTCGATACGAGGCTGAGCTTCAACAGGTTACGGAGGAGAGGAACTCCTTAAAACTCCTCTTAGGACAAAGGGGAGAGGAAATAAAAAACCTCCAAGATGAGTTGGCTAGGGCTCACCAAGATCAGATCGATCTATCCGAGCAGGTAATAATGCTTTTAAAAGCCTATGGGCTCGATACCGGAATGATGGCTAATTTTTCGGTCTCACAGCTGCAGTAGAAAATTGAGATGATCGGAAAACTCCGTGAAGAAGTCGATGTGATAAGAGCGGAGTCTTTGAAGTGGAAAGAAGGAATGGACCGCTTTGCTGTAGAGATAGAAACTGCTCGAACCCAATTGTCATCGTCCGAAAACCAACTTCAAAAAATGAAGGAGAAAAGCTCGGTCCAAGCAAGAAGAATAGAGGAGCTCGAGGCTCGGTTGACCTCTGAACTTGCCAAGTCCGAATCTGACACCGAAAAGGCAAAGGCCGATGCGGATGCACTCGTGGCCGTCTATCGGGCCGATGCTGAAGCTGCCCAGGTCCAAGCGAGAGAGGCAGCCGAGACCACCGATACTCGAGCACATTGGGTCGCTAAACTTGCCAGGTGCTGATCTCGGAGGGAGACCCTCGAGGAGATCCATGCTCGAGGTTTCGACTTCGCTGAAGAGATAAAAAGGGCCAAAGAACTCGAAACCGATACTGAAGTCTTAGTTTCCGATGATGATGATGATGATGATGATAATGATGATGGGAGTAAGAGCGGGTCCGAGATTGGGGGGGGCGAAGCCTGATAGAGAAGAGACCGCTTCTGGGGATAACCAGGAAGCTTAGTCCTTAATTTTTATGTTGTAATCCATCATGTAAACAGTTTTGTATAAAAAAAAATATCTCTTTTTGCCGACTTGCTTCTATTCTGTTTCTTGTCTTGTGAAGATTTTATTCACGCCTTATGAATATTTTCACAAGGATTTAGTCAACTTAATCAAATTTTGACTTCGTAGCCTTTATAACCGAGTGAGCGCTTACTCAAACTTGAAATAAGGTAGCTCGTATTCTTAGTAGTCGAGTTGAGTGATTGTTTGAACATGGGCTTACTTAAACTTGAGGTGATGTAGCCCTTAGGCTTAATGATCGAGTGAGTGCTTGCTCAAACTCGAAATAAGAGTAGCTCGTAGGCTTAGTAGTCGAGTGAATGGTTCAAACTCGAAGTAATGTAGCCCATAGGCATAATGATCGAGTGAGTGCTTGCTCGAACTCGAAATAAGAGTAGCCCGTAGTCTTAGTAGTCGAGTGAATGATTCGAACTCGAAGTAATGCAGCCCGTAGGCGTAATGGTCGAGTGAGTGCTTGCTCGAACTCGAAATAAAAGTAGCCCATAGGCTTAGTAGTCGAGTGAATAATTCGAACTCGAAGTAATATAGCTCGTAGGCATAATGGTCGAGTGAGTGTTTGCTCGAACTCGAAATAAAAGTAGCTCGTAGGCTTAGTAGTCGAGTGAATGATTCGAACTCGGAGTAATGTAGCTCGTAGGCGTAATGGTCGAGTGAGTGTTTGATCGAACTCGAAATAAAAGTAGCTCGTAGGCTTAGTAGTCAAGTAAATGATTCGAGCTCGAAGTAATATAACCCGTAGGAGTAATGGTCAAGTGTGTGCTTGCTCGAACTCGAAATAAAAGTAGCCCGTAGGCTTAGTAGTCGAGTGAATGATTAGAACTCGAAGTAAATATTCGAGTGAGTGCTTGCTCGAACTCGATCCTGTTTGCATAATAAATCTCGAAATAGAGAAATTTTTCTTGGATATAAGATATCGGTAAAGAAGAGAACTTTCTTTGC